GGAAAGGCTAAGGCTGGCCACACACTAGACGATTTTAAGGCCGATTTTAAGCCCGATTTGCACCCCCAAACGATCGGGGAGTGTGGCCCGATTCGCGACTTGTCGCAAGTGATTTTTTTGTCCAAAAAATCCTCTATTGTCTGGTGTCATTACGATTATTTATTTGCTCCCGATCGAGATGGAGCGTCCCTGAACTCAAATCATAAATATCAGACATGTTTGATATTTACCGGGCTGCCTCTGACGTGATACCCGCGATAGCCTATTAGAGCGAGCAAGCGTCACCTACCGGATGTTGCGTGCTTCTATAGCTGAAACTTGGCAGCCACAAACATGCCGTGAAAGCAGAGAACATCACCCATATTCTTTTCTATACTTTGTTTTTCACTGTACAACAGAACGCGCGCCGGGAGAGCCCGGGTGTTTGATCTCGCGAGTGTCCGTGAGATCTCGTGTCACTGTGAAATCGTTCCTACAATCATCAAGTGTGTGATCTCGTGGTCTGGTCTAATCATCTAATGTGCGCATTCAGAGGATTATAAGGCAAAAAAATCGGTTGAATTGTTTTCATGTCTGTGGTCTCCCATGGTTTTAAAATCTTTTAAGATTTGAAAATCGTCTAGTGTGCAGCCAGCTTAAGCAAATGATTCATGATTTTTAGATGAACTATTTGTCAGTTCTGTGTCTTGTGTTTTTCTCCCCATGTTCTCTCCTTGACCCAGTTTCTCCCTCATATGCCCTTATTTGGTTTTCCTGTTCCTGTTCCCGATTGAGTTCGGTTTCACCTGTTCCTGTTCCCGATTGAGTTCCATTGGTTTCACCTGTGTTCCCCTTGTTATCTCATTTAGTCCTGAGTACTTAAGCCCTGTGTTTTCCCATGTCCATCGTCGAATGTTATATGTCAAACCCCATGCTACGTGTGTGTTTCCCTGTGTTTGCTTATTAAAATCTGTTCCTGAGGAATTTCCTTCGTCTCCACGCTCCTTTGTCTCTTCCACAGTAGCAGATTGTGACAGAACATTCGACCTAAACAAGACAGTAAGCGGTGCCCCTTCTTCCCATTTGGTTTCCGTTTTTTGCAAGTCTTTTTTTTCCCCGTTTCTCCCTGCGGCTATGGAAATTGCCGCACGATTCTCCACCCTAGCCCACCGGGATCTCCCGTTTGTGGAGTACGCCGGGAGTTCTGAGGGCTCGCCGTAATGACGGCGCTGGACGACGCCGTGCTTAACTCTCTGTTCTGGATCGGGGCAAATTACTACTGCCCCGTTAACCTCCCAGCCACCACGGGACTGAGCTGGAGGGAAGGAATCCTCCGGTGTCTGGAGATCCGGCCCTGATCCAGAACCAACTCGCAGTCAAGCCCGCCGGCCGCTCAGCAGACAAGCCCGCTGGCCGCGGCACTCTCAAGCCCGCCGGCCACAGCATTCTCAAGCCCGCCGGCCGTTCCGAAGTCAGGCCCGCCGGCAGTTCCATTGTCAAGCCCACCGGCCGGTTCACTCCCAAGCCCTCAGCTGACAGCAGCCCGATCCTTAACCCCAAATCAAGGGAGGAATTTGAGGAGGAGGCGACTGTTGGCTCCAGCCCCCGACTCCACTCCAGTGTCTGCTCCAGCCCCCGAGTCCGCTCCAGTGTCAGCTCCAGCCCCCGAGTCCGCTCCAGTGTCGGCTCCAGCCCCCACATCCAGCCCAAGGAGGGCTCCAGTTCCCACGTCAAGCCCAGGGAGGGCTACAGT